TTGCACCATTGACGGTTTACAAGTGCACATGAAAATAGATGTTTATGATTATACCAATCCCGGAGGTTGTTAAATATTTCATAGTAACATTCATTCGGTAATTTTATCATGTTGAGAAATGATCGAAAACTTTAATGCAGAATTTTTACTCTGATTTATACGTAACTAGTGTTATGAAGCGTTAAAAAAAAAAAAATCCAAATTTGGAAAGGATTCTGTGGTTAACTTATGCAAACGGCATACCGAATGAGCACGTGGCGGTTCAGACGACCACATTTCAATTACTAACGTAAATAATTTATATTAATCCAAGTTTACGAAAGTCAACAGATCGAAAAGAGGGCTAAGCAGGGGCACGCCAACAATCACATTGTAGTCCGGTCAGAATAAGATACAGTAAACCGGATTGTGGGCGAACCCGATAAGGGTAACTATAAAGCCTAATCGAGTAAATCAGTACCTTATGTCGCATGAATTCAAATGAGTATAGCTTATTTTGGGTGCGCGAGATTACTACTAACAATAGAGCATTGTTGACAGGAGTAGACTATTAAGAGAAGCGAGGGACACCGCGGAAAACTGTCGCATTAACAACTGCAGAACTGCAAAAAGCGAACAAGATTCTCACCTGTCATGTAGAATCCTGCCATTACGTGTAACTTAAATTTCATGTTAAAGTCGGCCTGCTATATGTAGTGTACCGCCGACTGATGCGGTGATGCCCGACGCCATTTAGATGCTATTTCTGGCGTTTATCCCGTCTCAGTATTTCATGCTAATACGTATAAACAAAATTGCTATCTGACAATTATCATTACAGTATGTTTAGACTTTGCTTCTTTGCTTATTGATTAATCATTGTAGATTACCCAAATAAGGAATCTCAGTAACATTGGTCATTTTCATTACGTATTTTACTCGTAATGGCTAGAAAAAGAAGTTCATAATATGGGGGTTTTTTAATAATTATAATAATACGCTTTAGCCAATACCAGCCACAAAAAATTCCATTTGCATTGTACTGTACAATACGTACTCACTTATTATTCTTCATTAAATACGTAATGGCTAGAAAAAGAAGTTCATAATATGTTTTAGCCAGTATCAACTTATATTAATTATTACGCACAAAATTATTGGTTAATAGACACATGTGACACGTAAATTTTTATTCACAGCCTCACAACATAACGAAATATAATCTGAATTACAAAACAAGATCTTGATTAATCAGCCTCTGTCGGAACAGAATTTAAGTTTAAGGTTAGGGTTGGAATTTTTAGTTACAACATGTATACTCTTAAGATTACACTTACGCTTTCATTTGACACAGGGCGTAATTAATCATTGGTTGTGATGAATAGGCACTAATTAATATATTTATATTACGTAATTAGTGCTTATTCGTCACGTCACGATTTAATCTGTAAGAAATTTTATTGGTCAATCACAATTACGCGATTTTTTATAAATACGTACATACGTAACAACTTTTTTTAACTCACGAAATTTTTTATTTTTTCGTCTAAATTTTTCGATTTTTTTCTGTCACTTTTCACTTTTTATTTTTCTTTATCGTTATTTTATTCTGATACTATTATTTTCTTCTGATACTACACTTTCTTTTTGATATACACTTTTTCTATCTTTTCCTTTATTTTTTTTTTACACCAGTACGTATAATATTTAAAAAATACGATGAAGATTTTTTTTTATAAATAAAAAAAAATTAATTTCTTTTTTTTATTTTAGTGTCAAAAGATCCGTCCAAGCGGTACGTACAAAAAAAAGTGTTTAGTATGTATTATTATGAACCTTGCTCATAATTTTCCTTTGACGTAATTTAGACTTAACTCCAGTGTTTATATATATCTTCTTTATAAACTAATTCTTTTTTGTATCATCATTCAAAATAGCAATAATGACCAAAATAAAAGAAAGGAAAGCGTTTGAAAACGCTATAGAGGAGTCAAGACGCTGTTGAGAAGTAACTTCACTGCGGAGGAGTCAAGACATTGTAGAGGAGTGACTTCGCTGCGGAGGAGTCAAGCCACATAGACTACGATGTTTATGATGGTTTGATCTTCAGAAGAGACGGCAAATATAAAATCATTAATCATGTATCGGTATACTATAGCAACATATGTGATCTTTTTTTATGTGTTAACATTGTGTACTCAAATTATTATACATTTTTTTTTATTTACAATATTATTATCATATTCACAAAGCGTGCCTATTCTCGAAGAAGCTAATGACGATTTAATCGATCTAAATGATCATGAATACTATGTATATTTTTTTATTTTTTTTATATATATTTTTATTTTATATATTATTGCCGTTTTTGATTTTTTTAATAAAAAAATCAAAGACATTTAAAATTTTTATCCGTTAGTGTGAACTACTTTAAATTTCCGTTGTACGTATCACAATTACATATTAATCGATAATTAAAGGTGATGAAAAACTTTCAAATGATTACCTTGAACTTCTTGATGACAAAGATCATTAAAGTTTGCGAATCACCAAACGTTAAAATATTCCAAGCACATTGTGATCAGGTTCTACCTTCGCTGATATTTGATAATAAGTGTGTGCTTTATATTCATCGTCTTCTTCAATTCGTTTTTTTATAACAGGGACCAAGAGCATACGATCCATCTGTTCGGTCCATCTCTATAACTTTTTGATAATAAACAGAGATCTTATGTTCATTCGTTTTAATTTTAACTCTATTTCGATTACAACACAGATCTTTATATTTTCGTAATGAATTTTTGAATATCAATAAAGACAAGAATAATATTAAAACATTTGATTTAAAAAATATTTCGATTCATTCTAATCAAGTAAGTTATTCTACTGCATATACAGTTTAGAATTTATAACAAGTTATTCGAAAATCATGATGCATCATTTACTTTTAAGCTTTATTGCTTATGAATTCCTTTTTGCTGAAATAGCCAAACATTTTGAAAAAATCTTTAGCTCATTGGTTTCATTTACATTTTAGTCGTATTTATCGAGAAAGTTTCTTTTCAAGAATTACAAAAGCAATGCAACAATATTGTGGTAAAATATCCTAATAAAAAATTTGATTCAGAAGAATTTATCACACTTCAAGAAAATGCATTAGTATCACTTATTAATAAAGATAACTTACAAATGAAAGCAAGAATTTGAATCGTGTTATCAGATGAGGAATCGTTTAAAATCCTGGACTCCACCTGATTCTAAAGGAAGACTACGAAATTGTTCGTCTCATATCCGTTATTTTCAGAAATCTAGTGATGAAATTATCGATAATGTACAATCATATCAACAAATAATTGAAAAAAAAACCTTTAGAATTTTATTTTACCAAAACAACAAGTATCATCATTATTCCTTCTTCTCGTATAATTTTAATACCAAATAGAAATACAGAATCATTTTCGGCAGTTATTGATGAAGCACATGCAGAAGAAATTGTGACTTCTTCGTGAAACTAGATTCATTTTGGAATTTATGCAATAAGCAAGTCATAATTATGAAGGCTAAAGGTACTGATGAAATTCTTGGTGGTTATAATCCTGTCGGTTGAGATAAACCAGGTAAAAAGCAGCACTATAAGGCTTGAAATGATAGTTTTATTTTTTCCTTGAAAAATGGTGCTATTCAAAATTCTATTTTAAGTCACGTAAAAAAAATTACAGGATTTGCCATAAAATTCAAGCCAAGAAGTCTCGGAAAGGTAGAAAGGTATACAAATAAATCAACGTAAATCACGAGCATAATTATATGGTTTAGAAAAAAATTAGGTATCTCATAGTTTTCATAGTTTTCGAAAACGCGTAATTAACCAATAAGAATGCATGATTTTGCAACTTTGCCCATCGATGGGCAAAATCGTGCATTCTTATTGGTTAATTACGCGTTTTCGAAAACTATGAAAACTATGAGATACCCTACCCTTACCATTAAATTACAGAATTTGTCTTAACCACATACTGATGAAAATCTATGAAAAGGAAATCTATCCTCTTTATACTTTTCGATTGTAACTCATTTATGCTTAAACAAACAAGCAAGCAAACAAGCAAACAAATATTAATTAATTAATTAATTACCCTATGAGAAAAGTGGTCCGGGTGGTACATTACAGAATAACACGTAATTGTACGTTCACAGAGCGTATATACTTGTTGAACGGGATAGTATGTGTGCATCGGAGATGGTATGTGCATACATAATGTGTAGACAAGTTCTGCTAGATGTACTGATTTTGTGAACTATATTAATAAATCTAAATCTATTTGGATATTTTTAATGGTTAAATTTTCTTGAATTATTCTAGTTTTGAATTTGGACGTAAGAAAATAAATATTTATTAACATCATAATTTTGAAATCAATGATCGTAAACTTTATTTACTCCCGGTTCTTATTTATACTTCTATACTATTCCTTCTAGATTATTGTCCAGATTTCAGATCCGGGCTGATCCGAAATTTTTATAATTCTTTTTAATTATATATCTTTTTTTATTTTTTTTAATGATATACGAAATTTTAAACTATTAGAGTTACTAACAATGAGTAAAAGTTGCTGGCTGAAAAAAAAAGAAAAAAATGAAAGAGATTTTGTGATCTGTAGTAAGCTAGACTTTATGAAATACGTAATTTTACTTTGAAGAAATAGTATAGAAGTATAATAGAACCTGGGAATAAATCAGTTATTATCCGTGAAATGGACATAACCAAATATCAATCCCAAATCAGATGATTGGATAACGACACTGGTTGCGAAGCAGCCAGTGTCATTATCCAATCACCTGATCTAGGATTGATTCTTGGTTAACTTCGTGGACAATAACATATTCTTATTTTGATTTGTAAGCTTATTTATATAATATTGGAGGACTTTACTGTCCATACCTGTAACAGCTGCCTCTGTATTAACGTTCAGATTAGAATAAAAACTTTACTATGCAAATTATGTACCCGATATAAGTTTGTTTCAAAAGTATGTAAACATAATGCAATAAGTTAATAAAAGTTCTTCTCTTGAAATGATACAAATAGTATAAAGACACACGCTTTCAGAAAATAGAAATTGATTGGCCATTTTAAAAGAATAATCAATATCTGGAAAATATTGCGCGGATAAAAATAAATAGCCAATATAATTCCCAATATAGAATCATCGGACCGACCAGAATATTTGTGTTTAATTTTAAAAATTAAAAGCATAAATAATACTAGAAACATAGACCAAGAAAAAAGATGAAGGGATAAACTTGCTGAAGCTGAAGCAGAAGGATAAATAATAATATTAATTAACAAAGATATTGGAGCATAATATGTAGGACAAAAGAATTGAGGTAAAATAGCAATTCCAATACTGCGTGGAGTGCCATGTATAAGATCTTTAAGTGTCCAGCAGAATCCTTTGTCTTTAATAGGAAGTACTCCATATCAAAAAATTTTAACTTAAACATTGTTGCCAAAAATTTATAAAAGATTGCAAGAATAGAATAAGTTGCTTGCAAAACCATATTTAAAAATACGTTTTAAATTAGAGAGGTTATCATCATCATAGGCAAAAGCGGCCATTAACGGAATTATCCAAGAAACAATATGGTATAATACTTCATCAAGTAATGGTAATGCTGTAGCTCTAAATGTCGACACCTGTGTAGCCTTATTATATACATTTATTTCTTCATCAAATTCTTTTAATATTTCATTAAATATTTATAAAATTTCTTGATTTAAAATTTCTTCTTTATCTAAAATTTCTCTTTTACATTCTTTAAACTTTTTAAGATCCGATAAATTTATATTTTTAGAAATTAATTTTATGAAAGTGTCTTTAAGTATTTTTTTATTTTCATTAGAAATATTTAAATTCTCGTTAATTTTAAAATAGGCATTTTTTCTTTTATACAGGCTGTCAATAATAATTTTACTTATTTTATTTAGCCTATATAATTCACTCTTTTGGGCTTTATTATATTCGACTTTTAGCTCATTTCTATCCGAAGCTTCTCTAATGCCTTGTATCATTATTTTTTCCTCTTCATTTTCCTTAAGCTCCATAATTAATTCTGTCATTTCCTTTTCATTTTTATACTTCAATCCAATTTCAAGAAATTTCATTAAAATGATTGGAGCAATGTATTGAGAATAGCATCATACAAATCTTGTTGATTCTGATGATTCTGAGTATAGGTTTCATCCACGATGGACCACATTGCAAAAAAAATGATTTATTTTAGGCCATGCAAAGTTAATAATTGGTTCTCGCAACCCGGCAGGGCCAAATTGTTGTAAAAATTTTCATATGTTTTAATAACCGAGTGATTTTTAGATTTTTTTTTTAAAAAAAAAAGAGCTGGTCGTCTGGGTCTATTTAAAAAGTTTCATGTTATGAGAATCAATAAATTAAATTTGCGTGGCCCTACTATGACAATATCTAATGTACATTTAAGAATTATAAGACTATCTAGTCATTATAGTCCTCATAATACGTAATTATTAGAAAGAATTAAGCATATGATATGCATAGACAACTATTATTACTGTATATGACTTATATAAAAATTTATCCGAATAACTAATAATACCTGGGTGAAGATTTTCTCATTGGTCCAATCTCTAGACAGATTTAGTATATCCCAGTGTTGGACTATGACATTATATGACCAATATGATCTATATGGCTAGTCATAGATCATTTAGTCATTTTGCAAGTATATATATGATCTATGATATTATATGACCAATATGATCTATATAGCGAAATCCGAATTTGCAGATCAAATTGGGCGAAACTAATTTCGGATTGAAAATAATTTCGCCCAAAACACTAGATCTATATAACCCGTCATAGATCATGCAAGTTTAGTTATATAGATAACTAATAAAATCTTTTACGGTAATGCTAAGAGAAAACTCTATTATAATTTACACAGGTTAAATCAATGAATAACGGGTACATATCGGCTCCCGATATGTACCCGCTAAATAACTGTAGCATATCGGTAGCATATAGGTTAGATATCGGGTGGTAGATCGATAACGGTAACGTAACAGTAAAATACCGGGACATCCTGGTATCTTACTCTTGGCACTATTTGGACTAAGAGTAAGATACCGGGATGTTACTGTTATGCCCGATATGTACCCGTTATTCATTGATTCAACCTATGTTATTAACATTAATTTCTAATGATGAATAATACGTATACTATGGAATAATCCTATGTGTGATGCTTAGAGTTATGTATATAACTTTTTTTCATTTACTTTAATCTTTTTTTAATCAGTGTGTTTCTAAACATGTATAAACTTGTAAGTAAAATATGCGCAATTAATAAATAGTGTCTGTCACTATATTGTACGTGTTTATTAGCTAACATATTTGTATTTATTCGAGATTTATTACAGCACTTAAAGCAATATTTTCTTATACATATATTTTATTAAGTGCTTTGACGAGTTGTCATCATTGAGGTTTATAAAAATCTTGAAAATCATAATAAACATTATAAAAGTAAAATAATGCGTATTTTTTGAATTCAAAATAATAATATTAGAAGCTAAAGGTTACGAAAAAAATGAAGGGAATTATATTTTTTCAAAAAAATAACAACTCAATTTGAATATAATAATGTTAAAAAAATGGTGTTTTCGTTCTATTAAAACTTATCATTATTATTAAAAATTTTTATTGATGCAAATTGCTTGGACCGATTATACACTACCAACCTAGCATACATTGCAATGTTTAGATATAATATATTTGGATATCTCATGCAAGATAGTAATACGATAGAACTAGAGGTGGGTTTCATGCGTGCGCATGATTCGGAATCATGCGCATTTTATCCCATCTAAATTTTATATAGGAAAATTAAAGCATATTTAATTTAGGTCAAGGTGTATAATGCCAGGCAAAATTAAGAAATAGGAATGCAAAAGTTTTGAAAAATTTCGAAAAGAAAATGATTTAACATAAGACGAGAAGGATCGGGGAAAAATTTTGGCAAATATCCGATATTTTCCGGAAGGAAAATATAAAATCAAAAAAATTATATCATGCGATATCATGCGCATTTTATATAACGTGCGCATTTTTCCCATCTCTAACCATTATGTACAAATTATTAATTCAGCCGGTAAGTATAGAATTACATTCGATATAAAGTATTATATTGCAATTGCGAAATAAAACATTATATATTATATAGAGATTCTGTATATGGAAAATGCAATGAAGATAATACGAATTACGGTGTTCCATTTGGGCCAAAAGTGCAATTTTTGTGAAAATTGAAAAATTTGAAAATTTGAAAATTGAAAAATTTGAAAATTTGAAAATTGAAAAATTCGAAAATTCGAAAATTGAAAAATCCGAAAATTCAAAAATTGAAAATTTCAAAATTTAAAACTTCTAATTATAGGATAGATCTGCGGTTGCTTTTTTGATAGGTCTAAAATGTACCCCAAAATTGATTTACGTTCTTGATGCGTTTATAGAATAGACTAAGAGGCTGTACTAATTTTTTAAAATTTGAGCGAAGCTATCTCAACAACCACTGGACCAAATTTTTTTTATTTAAATTCTAAGAATTCATAGAATTTAAATAAAAAATAATTCATCGAATTTGGTCTGGTGGTAATGGATATATCTTCGCTCAAAGTTGAAGAAAAATTGAAATGTCTATCTAAAAAAGCTGCGTCAATTTTTTTAAAAAATTTGAGCGAAGCTATCTCCATAACTACTGGACCAAATTTGATAATTTTTTTATATTTGAATTCTATTTATCCCATAGAATTTAAATAAAAAAAATTTATCTGATTTGGTCTGGTGGTAGTGGATATATCTTCGCTCAAAGTTAAAAAAAAACAAAACACCTAACAAAATTAAAGCTGT